GAATTACCCAATGAGACGATCATGACCTTAGATACACCATAAAGGTTGTTCCAACTCATCCTATTGTGTTACACAATAGGGGTCAGAAAGCCATACATTTAAGACAGGATACAGTCCACAGAGACACCCTCGGGAGCCTCGCCCTTCTCTCTCCCTCTTGAATTCTCCGGCTGCGGTATATTGCCACCATCTTTCAATTCTTGCAATTAAAGAGCTTTTGTCATGAGTGCCCCAATAATCGCTCAGCCAGTTGTGGTATCGCTGGCTGACTTGCAAAATGGTATGTCAAAATCTCTCTCCTTTTGGTCCGTTCATCATGACTGACAATAGCTACAGGGAATGTGCCTTTTGAGAGACTCGTCGAGGCTTTTGGGCCGGATTCTCTTGGAATCTTGGTTGTCAAGAATGTCCCACCAGAGTTTCCCGAGCTGAGACGCCAAGCACTTTCATATGCCTCGTATCTAGGAAACTTGCCGGAGAACGAGCTTGGTAAAAAACTCTTCTGTTGAAATGGGAGATCACGGCCACTAACACTGGTATGCAGACAAGGTCGAGAATCCTGCCGCCAAGTATTTGACAGGCTGGTCGTTGGGAAAGGAACAACTCAAGGATGGACAAGTAGATACATTCAAAGGCTCTTTCTACGCCAACTGCGCCTTCTATACCGACCCAACATTAGATGCCGCAAAGCCAACGCCTGATTTCTCAACCGAGAATTTCCCGGAATATCTGTCGCCAAACATCTGGCCCGAAGAAAAGGTCCTTCCAGGCTTCAAACGCAGCTTGGAGGATCTATGCAGGCTATTGATCGACACAGCTGTGCTTGTTGCACGAGCGTGCGATCAATACGCGGAACGGGAAATCGAGGGATACACAAAGGGCTACGTTGAGCACGTCGTCAGCACGAGCAACACCACCAAAGCCAGGTTGCTGCACTACTACCCGCAATCCCAGGAGGGTTCAAGTGAAAACGAGGACGACTGGTGCGGCGTACACCTCGATCACTCAGTTTTGACAGCCTTGACATCTGCCATGTTTGTCGATGAGCACAAAACTTCATCAGGTTCAGTGTCACGCGCGAAGGATGCCACAGGGCTCTCTCCGCTCGAGGAAATGGCAGGAAGCCCCGACCCCCTGGCTGGACTTTACATCAAGTCTCGGACAGGGGACACTGTGCAGGTGAAGATACCTAGGGATTGCATTGCTTTCCAGACGGGCGAGGCACTTGAACGGATCACAAAAGGCAAGTTCAAGGCTGTGCCGCACTTTGTGAGAGGAGTTAGGCCTTCTATGAGTAATGGCCGGGTTGCAAGGAACACTCTGGCGGTGTTTACTCAGCCGAATCTTGGCGAGGAGGTTGACTCAGAGCAGCATATCACATTCGGAGAATTTGCCAGGGGCGTTGTGAGCAAGAATACCGTTGAGGCGTGAAATTGGAGCGCGTTCCGATAAAGAGTAGACTTTGAGAGTAATCGATAGTAATGTGACACCTCGGCTATTGTTGACACCTTTCGGGTTGATACTCGGGTTTGATGCAGTTATTCCGGTGCTATGCCAGGAAGCTACGACCCAAAAGGAGCGCCACATTGAAGGCCAGTACATCTGCTCAATGTGAAGACGGCTTAACGTCGGAAATCTGGCTATCCAATTTAGTAGAGTCAAGCTTCGTAGGCCCTTCTGACTCCAGACCCCGCTCTTCCACAACAGCCTCGATGACCTGAAGCTCCGTCTTGGCTCGCCGCTTTTCGACTAGGATAAGAACGGTGACCCAAATCGCCATGGTCGTCCCCACAGCGATCATGGCAATCATTCCTTTCTATCGTACGGTCAGCATGATCTTGAGGATCAAGCCTCGGGTCTTGAAGAAGGACAGCTATCATACACACCTTGAATTCTGGAGCGTCATCGGCCCTGTAAAAAATGAGAGGCCACCAAGCTTGGAAGCAGTTGCCAGCCGCATTCATGCATGCAATAACACATGATCGTAGTCTCGGTGATTCGTTTCGCATCGAGTCATTGGCCCACGCGAAGAAGGTGGCTTGGATGCAGTAGATCGAGCCAGCCCAGTAGTAAGCCCCGAACTTGGCTGCTGTCGAAGTTGGGGCGAGAATGATTGCGGCATTTGCAATAGCCGTGAAGCAGACGTAGTATCCCGAAAGCCATCGCCTACCCCAGATATCTGTTGAAGTGGCCCACAACAACGTGCTCGTCACGCCCATGGCCTGTACACCGGTAGGGTAGTTGTTGCGTTGGTAGAGATTGTACTTTTCTGTCGGGTGAGATTGCATGTAAAGGTTGAGAAGCGACTGATTTGACTGCGATTCGGAGCAGTTGCCCAGGATCCATAGGAAACAGAAGGCATAGAAGTACCAGGAGTGGACCACCCTAGAGAGAAAAGACTTGGACATAATGCTCTCCGTCTTGTCATCCTCGTGGATCGGTACGCGCTCTTTTGCAAGAGCGATTTCTTCTTGGCTCAAATAGAATGCCGTGGTCGTATGGGGTGTGTCGGGGAAGAAGAAGTATCCGTAGACAGCGACTGGCAGCGTGATGATGCCAGAAATCTGAGAATAGTCAGCAAAGAATCTAGATAGAAAGACGTTTGCAATATTACAATGAAAAGCCATTTCCAGCCTGGCAGGCCATGCAGGCCGTTCATAGACGAATGGATTCCACTTTGCAAAAACCCGCCAAACATGCCACCTGCTAGACCGCTAGCGGTAAAGAGTCCCGTGCGTTGGCCAAGCTCTTTCTTGGTATACCACGATCCTAGAATGTACTGGGTTCCGGCGAAAATGCATGATTCAAAGTATCCTTGGAAGAATCGGATAGCCATGAGGTGTTGCGGGGTCTTTGCCACCGCGTTGAGCATAGTAATTCCCGCCCAAGTTGTAATCATAAAAGGGAAGAAGTTTCGAGGCTTGAAATAAGTTAAGAGCAAATTATTGGGGACAATGCCAGCCACAAAGTGGCAAAGAGAGGTCAGTAATCGGATCTTCGGAATCTGGTACTCCATGCGTGGCCGCGAGAACTCACATGAGGTACGCCGTCGCATAAAGAGTCGTGACTACGGTCAGTTGAGCACCTTTGAAGCCCAAGTCCTCTCTCATTCCAGAAACATATGCTTGGGTTATGCTAGCTCTGTCGAGGTAATTCCTGATTCGAGTCACATTCATCAGTATCTCCGTTATCAATATTGCCAAGCCATCCACTCACATAAAATACGCTGTTCAATGTTAGAAACGGCAATTAGACCACGTAACGTTGACGGGTATGAACATACCTAAACAGCAGAAAGTGAGAATGAAGAAGTCCAATTTGAGAACAAGTTTCCTCTCCAATGGAGTGGAAGCGCCCTTGAAGTGTTCCCTCAATGAAGAGAAGAACCCCATCGTGGTTACTGAGGTGTCTTGCTCCAGCCGGTGACGCGAGAAGTGGAACAAAGGGCTACTAGGTGATGATCAAGGGCCGGGAGCTATACACACTTGGAAGCTGATGGGCGCATGTGAGGAAATAGTCGGAGAGCTCTTCTTATGTCTAAACTGCCTTTGGTGCAGTGTCTAGATGAAGTTGCCGTTATTGGCTTATCTGCTACTCCAAGACGCCTTCCCCCTGCACATGGGGAAGCATGCTTGGCTCGGGGATAAGGGAATGGTGCCCCGCCCTTCCAGGAAGCTTCCATTATCAAGGCTTAGCAAAATCTGGGGGTCTTGAGAGATACTACTTGCCAAATACCAATTACCCAGAGGTGAGTAAGGCCAAGAAGCTTGGAAGTCTTGAAGTATCTCGCCCATAGATAAGAACTAGGCCGGCCACCTTTTCATTTCGAACATGCGCTAATGCCAAACTGTCCGACTGTTGTTGCTGAGTCTACGATAAGCGGAACATTTCGATCTTTTCAGTGCTATCGTTACTTGTATATGTGAGGTTGGAAGCCAAGACCGTGTGTTGAGATGGGTGGGTGGGTCAACTTCTCGGAGGAGCTCCTCCCGTCGATCTCGACACAATATCGACACAAGGTGAAATCAACATACCTTAAACCGGGCTGTGTGGTCCAGGTAGGTAGCTCACAAACACCTAGGATTATCATCAACTCGGTTTTCAAGCCAACAATGAATGAGAGTGTGGTCGATTTCAGTTGGACGTAATCATCGTCGGTTTCTTTTCTGCCAGTATGATTCATGCTTGTATTCCCCTGTAAATGATCCTGAAACAGAGAAGGAATGAAGAAAAGCCAGAGATGGATGTATTGACGCCAAAGGATGTATTAGACTTTCGTAGCATTTTGTCTCGAGTCTAATAGTATGCTGAGGGCACCACGTAACTCAATTTCTTTAGGAAGCGTTACCGGCGGCTAAACCCCAATGGCATAATCCAAACTGAAGGACCTTATTTAACGCTACTTAATCAGTCGTTATCTGCTAATTTGGCATGATGGATTCATCATTTCCAGCTTCCGTCTGCAATCTCCTGATTTTAGAGCCTAGCTAGCCTTCAAAGAGGGTACATAAACCTCCCGAGGAACGTTGTCGAATTTGCCCAGGCTTTGATGGCCTTCGGGGTCAGGATATTCGCCAGCGAAAAAGTCGGCGTGTTTTTGAGTGTCTCGCGGACGATCAAGATCATACTCATAACGCTTGAACCCATGTTTCCGAGCGTCCAGGAAATCCGCCATACAGAATACCTGCTCATCAATAGGCTTATCGCGACCAAGTCGCTGAAGGAGAGGGGAGCCTTCAATGGGCACGAGTTCTTGCTCGTCAGCCGGACGTGAGAAGTAGATTACTCCGATGCGACGAAGATGGCGTTGATCCTCGGGAGGCTCTGCACATCAAGAATTAGTAATTACTTACTTTAGGTAAGCCATCGATCTTTGCAGAAAGCAACCACTTACGGACAACTCTATGGATAGTGGCCTTGAACAGGCCTCCGGTCAGTCGAGCAAGGGCATCGCCGAAGTTGACGACCAAACCATGAGGCTGGTGCTCGACCCATCGATACTTCCCATCATTATGGTCGAGAACCTGAAGTGCCGCTATGGGTTGCGAAAATAGGAAGGTCCATGTGCCCAGATCAGTGTGCCCCGAGAGGAAGATATCGCGGTACTTCTCGCTTTCTTCCTTCGATCGCGGCTCGCACATCATGTATCTGATATACTCGGTCTTGGAACCCCCGGGTGCATGCGTTGATTGAATTACCTCTTCAGGGACCTCCAAGATCATAGCAACCTGGGTACCATAATAATCAGTCTGAGCCACGTTCGGGATTTCAGGGGCGAGCTCACCAAAGTCAGAAGTTTCTTGAGGATGTTGGTTCGAAGAGATTGCATCACTTCCTGCGTCTCCTGCAAATACGGTCGCATAATCTCAGGATGGGGACGGTGAAGCGGGTCATGAACCAGAATGTTGTAATGATCCAGCTGCTTAGGGAAGCCTCCCTTATGCCCCAGGGGACCAGCAGGTTTGTACGCAAAATACAGTCCCCGTGCATCTTCCTCGGGAGTTACTATCGCGGGGTGTCAATGCTTACACTCTTCTATCTTGGACCGATAAAGTAGCTGTCGATACCTTCATAAGGCGCCTTCTCTTCCGCCGGGAGGGTCATCATGGCGTTTGCTATCTGCATTTGGCGAGCGTAAACTTCGTCGGAAATGCCATGATTGCTCAAAGTGAGAAAGCCATAACCAGTCGCAGCTTCATAGAGATCCTTTGCAAGTTCCTGTCGGCCGATTTGGGTGTCAAACTTGGACAGGTCGAGGTTCACAAGTTTGACATAGTCCACTTTTCATGTTGTAGTCAGCTGAATAAGTTCGATGGATTGATTCGACCTTGGAAGGCAAGACCTACGCTTCTCCTTGGTGGGTGGAGCGGGTGTAAATGGAGGAAGGGACATAGTCTCTATACTGGGTGAAACGGAAAGCCTCTGGTGATAGGGCTTGATACAGTTGAAGATGTAAAGGAGGAATCTTTCCGTATCTGGCTCTTTGAATAGTTGATGGCCTTTACTCGAGCAATCGGACTGGATCTTCACTGCCTGTTATTATATTACGAGTCGCATTTCTGTGAAAAGAGCTACCACATGAGCGCACTCTTACTGCATGACCTGTCACAGCGACTTTTACGCCCCATCAATGTCCCAAACACCGGAGCCGAATTGTAGATTATTCATCTACACATTCATGCCGCGTGATTACAGGTGCTCCTTGAGCGTGTTCCTCCTCCGAGTCCTCTCAACATGTCTTCTAGCGAGCCCAGTCGGCTCAACCTCTCAGTCGTCCTCCAATCAGCCCTCCCAACTCATCCAAGAGGAGCGCACAACCCGGGCTTGTCACGCTTCCCGACTGGAGGTTGCATCGTATCTTCGTGGGGTAAAGGAGATGGTGGGTGGTTGAGAGGAGCTCCTCCCAAGTGGGGCACCTCTTCCCCAGACATTGAAGTCTAGCATTGACGCTTATCAGGCCGTCACCTGCGACCTTGGTCGGGGCTCCTCCACGGTGAGCTCCAGTCAGCCCCTTGTTTCGTATCTCATTTGCCTTGATCATATCTAGAGCCTTTCGGACTTCGTCATGCTGCATAGAATCTTTCAAGACGAGGAATCGGCACTGACTAGGTTACTACGGTAGATCTATTCAGTTCAAGACTTGGGACATTTTATCCGGTGCGGCCGCACTGGGCAACAGACAAGCGTGCAACTGGGAACGATAAGAGTAGCGAACCCATATTTTGCGGAGAAGACGATTGTCCTATCATGTTGACTCTGTTATCACGACATGCCCATCGACCTTCAATGCTTTCACGACTGCTGTGAGAAATCGTCGACTGTGAATATTGAAGCTTCGTGGAAAACATCTCTACTTTGCACTCAAGAGTGAACTCAGAAACCTACTGACAGTGCTGCCATTGAAACATTATCATTGTCATAACGTCTAGTGTGAAAATGTCTACCAAATCAACCGACAAGCCATTCCAGTGTCCTGCGTGCTCAAGTCGATTTACCCGACAGGTGATTCTCCTGTCGAGCGATAGCCCCTAATGCAAATTATTGACAGTCAGCAGGAGAACTTGAATCGTCATACGGCATCAGGTAGTGATTAAATGAAAATGTCGCAATGTCTAGAGACAAGCCAGACTGACGGACCCAGTACATCAGCGTTCAAATCTGAGGCCATTCCCGTGTCCACAGTGTGAAGTCAGCTTCTCCAGAAGGTTGGCACTATTTCCAGGACATCGAACTACTTCGAAATTTTGATAGAGTCTGAGTTGACTTATGTTAGTGATTTGAGAAAACGCCACGTGAGAAGATACCACGCAAACCCCGATCGCACTGGTGAGACAATTCATGTGGCCAGTCATGCTGCGCCAGCCGACGAGCCAACAAAAGAAACAAACAAAGCAACGGAAGCGAACCGCTCTATCGATCTTTCAAACGGCCAAGGTGTAGGTGTTCCGTTCATCAAGCCCAACCGAATTTTAATCTAATTTTGTCAATGCCTCAGTCAACACCGATTCCACAAGTGTTCGCATCACGAGGCATTTCATGGTTATTCAAACTTCCTCAATTTGTATCAGCTTACTTCGATCGTTTTCAGCCCACGTTCCCGCTTCTACATAAGCCAACATTCGACCTCGATACGGCTCAGGAGCCGTTGATACAAGCAATTGTTTGCCTTGGGGCCATTTATCAAGTCCAAGGTTCAGGCCAGGAGATAAGTGCCACATTGTTCTCTTCGGGCTTGAAGTCTCTGGACGTATACGTAAGTGAATATACAAGAGTGACTTTGTGCGAATGCTGAGCGGTAGAATCACTTCTAGGTTCGCGAGAGTCGGCGGGTAAGATTCAGAGAGTTGTGGGTCATGCAAGCCTACTTGCTATTCGAATATTACGCATTCTATAGCTGCGACGATGGCCGATTCTCAACGGCTCTCAAGATCCACAGGAAGCTTGTTGATGCTGTCCGACAGTACCAGATGCTCCAAGACAGAGTAGCTCTTGGCGTGGACGAAGTCTCCAGCCCGAACGAACCTGCGGTAGCTTCTTCAATGACCGAGACCGAGCACGCCTGGCGAGTTGCCATGTACAACGAGTCAAGAAAGCGGTATGGCCGCCTACCACCGCGGTATCAGCGCGGAAACCTGACCTCAATTAAAATGAAACGCTGACATTGGAGGTCTCAGGATTGTGTACTGTCTATACTACCTTGATGCTCAACTCTCAGTCTGTTGTAACATACGTCCGCTGCTCGCAGCTCTCGAATTGAAATACGAACTTCCGTGTCAAGACGACATATGGCAAGCTGCCACAGCCGAAACCTGGCAAGCCCTCATATTTTCTGAAGAAGGGTCATTCAACGAAGAAGACGACTATGAAGCCAATGGCGACCCGCGCCCGGCGCACGGCGATCTGTACGCAAGTCTCATGTACTTGATGAATCCTAACCCGCCGGACCGGCCACTGCGATTACTCTGGCACTCGTCTTTTGCGTGTCTGATGCTCATGACGCAAATTTTGATGATGATTCGTGACCTCACCTTGGCAAGTTCGTTCTTGTACAATAACGTGCGATGTGGCGAGTCCAAGAACAACTTGTCAATTATCTCAGAAGCTAGTCGGACCTCGATAATGCAAGCTCTGAATGCCTTGTCGGACATCATGCGCAAGCCATCTCTTCCTGGAACATGCCCACTCAGCAGCCCTTTATATGATTCTAAGTCTGTGGAGTCTGGCCTATGGAGCAATGTCTGGATCGTGTGGCATTATGCTGCTATGAATCTAACCCATCAAGAGGCGTTACTCACGAGCGGCATCGTCGAGTATAGTCTTCCATCCGCTGTTTCAACCTGCTGGGAACTTGGTAAGCCTCGGGTGAAGCAGCATCGAGATGTGTACGAAGATAGAGATGGTACGTATATGAGTGCTTCTTCAGATTATCATCCATGCGAAAGACTTCAGATGAAGCAAAACACCAGCTCACACTGTCTCAGTCATGCGTGTTGCTAGTAGCCTGGAGAGCATTCTTGTGCTTCTTTCTCACGACACTAGACCCATCGGTATCAACTTTCAGTTGCAATCTGAATTCACCCCCAAAACAATCGAAGATCCATTCATCACAATGATCGGATACAAGGCCTGTCTGCTAGGCTGGCGCATAGTACGTCTAATGGCCGTCAGCCTGCAGGCCAGCTCGGCCTCGTTCAACATCCAAGCACAAAGCATCTACTCCATGTCCGCCCGTGTTGTACTTACTGGCATACTGGCTGCCATAAGCTCAGAGTCTGCGAATCAGAGAGGTCAGTGGGATTCAACAGCGGCAGTAGATGATGCCGAATCACGATACCTGACATGGATGGAGGCAACATTCTTGGCCAGGGATGTTTGGCCACCGGGCAAATGGATTGTCGCGGTATGTAATGAAAGCAGACATGAGACTGAGTGATTATTCGCAGTGTGTGCTCTATTGCAAATGGACTTCTATGCAGGCTCCGAGGTATCTGGACATCGAATCATGCTGAATTTTCAGAAGTCCCTCTCAAGTTCCGGTGTTGATATGATTTCTGGAAGTGCCAAGCTTCCCCAGACTTACAAGCCATCATAGTCAGGGTAAGTACCACCAGGCTCGTCACGAATGACATTAGGTCCAAGAATGCTATCAAAAATTCCATCTTTGTCATTCCGGATGCGCATGTAATACTCATGTACCACAGGGTGCTTCTCGGCCCAGCTCTTGGTAAAGACCTTGGAGTCGGTCAGTAACTTTTTGGATACTCGATTCAGGGAACTTGATCTCCTAGTTGAACAGGTCCTTACATATTGGTAGCCTCTTGCGAGACCAGAAACGACGAATAAGTCGGCAAGCGTCAACGTGTCTCCAACGAGATAATTCTTCCCTGTCATCTCCCTCTCGATGGCACGAATGGTCAATTCACAGCCCTCCTCACAAGTCTGGAGAATCTCAGGACTGCTAGGAGCCCGTCCGATTATGGGTCCTATCCATGCCATAATGGGTGGCAGGAGCTCATAGTTCGTGAATGACGCCCACCGAAGGACAGTTGTCTCCTCCTTCAATCCGGATCCACAAAGCTTTGTGTTTGGATCCTGCTTTGCTACTGCAATACCGTCAGTTTTACCGAGATTACCGCTTTCAATAAACTTAGCACTTACGAAACCATGCAACTGCGTTGCTTTCGTAGACAGCAAAGCCATCGGCGGTCTCCAGCGCGGGAACTTTCCCAGTGTGGAACTTGGAGAGATATTCTTCACCGACGCCGCCCTTTTCCGGGTATACTTTGATCGGGAATGCGTTGCAAATTTCGACGTCGAGTTTATTATACTTGGCAACGAAGAGCACCATTGTAGATCGAGGCGCTTTAGGATACGTGTAGAGCTTGCCGAAAGACATCTTGCTGCCTGTAATAACTTGTCTGACTGGAGAATGAAATAAAGTAGGGAAGAGTTTTGCTGCTCGAATCTGGATTGAAATTATAGCTGTAGTTAACCGGGAAGGAGATCTTGTTCTCTACATAACGCATCCTGCATGTTATCTTTGATGATTATCGTCATAGGGAGGAGCTCCACCACCGACAAAGGTGGAGGTCTCTCCCGTGACAAATGCTCCTCCTACATCCAAAGACTACCTTGACAACTTATTGTTTGACCAGTCAGCTGGGCTCACGCAACTCTCCTCTCGCGCTGACTCTGTCTTTAATTGCGTCGTTTAGTAATCTAGCGAGTATCCCATCGACTGCTAGAAGTACAGATGCAGCATATCCGTCTCCAGTTTTTCTTTAACTTCTAAGGTATTTCTTTTCAACCTGTTCATGGCGTATAAAAGGAAAACACAGTCGGACAGATATATAATTCATTATCATCACTTGAAAAGGTATGTATTGTTGTATTGACGGTATCTGGCAGCTGATGGGAGAGAAAAGTCACGGGTAGAAATGCAGTGCTAATTTGACAAAAAAAGGAAAAAGGAAAACACAGTACTCACTCTGATGATACCAAGCTAGTCTAGGGTCGTGATCTGACATGAAGCAGTTGGAACGGAGAAGGTCTTTCAAAAGCGCGGCTTCTTCATTCATCCAAAGTTCGTCCAATGGCTAAATTAGTCGACCCAAAGCATCAACTCAACAGGTTACACGATTGTCAAAATCCGTTGATCTCCCGAGCACGCAAAACGTTCCCGAGATGCGGGGAGGACTTCCATGTCATGATATGACCGCTAATAGGCGCGGATGCGGCAGTCAGCCGTGGAACCGTTCCTGTAGCATCAGTTGTCGTTGTAAAAGGAATGCTACCGCTTATGAGCTGAAAATGCAACCTTGTCTTGCGAACCGGGAGGAAACGGTTGGAGCGTGTCTACCATCCCACCGGCCGAGTCTGTGGGATTTAGCTAGCCATGCAGTCGGCCGAATGCAAGATGAAAATCTGGGGTCATCGGCTGAACTGATGCCACCCTTTCGCATCATCCGCAGTCATGCAACTGCCGGAAGAAATATAGTGAAGCACCGTAGCTGGAGCGCAATCTCCTTGGGCTGTAGATCGACGGTCAAGATCTTACGAGCCAATGGGACACATCAAACTGGATTTCACGATGTCCTCGTACCGACTGAAAGAGATCCGAGATGGCCGAAACCACATTTTGCGTTCGCGACGAAAGTGATAAGACCGAGCTGATGTCCGTCAGAATAATCAATTATTTCAGCAGTCAAGCACAGGACACCCTACAAGACAACACAGTGAGCATATCAATACATTGACACGATGAGATCCTGGCTACGCTCACTCGTCACGATAGCTGCTTTGGCGGCCCCTATCGTGGCAGAGACCTTCACCAACCCGGTCATATGGGAAGACCTCGCCGACAATGAGGTTCACCGCGTCGGAGACACCTACTACTTGACCGCATCCACCATGCACTACTCCCCCGGTGCGCCCATACTGCGCTCCAAAGACCTCGTCAACTGGGAGTACGTCAGCCACTCGGTCCCGGTCCTCGATTGGAACTCGCACTACGACTTGGCGGACGGCAAGAACGCCTATGTCGAGGGCATCTGGGCATCCTCCCTTCGACACCGGGCAAGCAACGGTCTGTGGTATTTTGTAGCCTGCGTAGAGTTCTCAAAGACCTACGTCTACACATCACCTGACCCTGCTGGGCCCTGGACCAAAGCCGGCACCATTGACACGTGCTACTACGATGTTGGCTTGTTGTTTGACGACGACGATATCCCGTACGTGGCCTATGGAAACACCGCGATCTCTGTTGCGCAACTCTCTGCCGACGGACTTACGGAGACTCGACGAGAGACGGTATTCCAGACTCCCAGCGATATTGGTGCTCTGGAGGGTGCGCGGATGTACAAGCGAGACGGAAACTACTACATCTTCTTGACAAGGCCGCCTGATGGACAATTCGTACTCAAGTCATCCAGCCCATGGGGTCCGTACGAAGTCAAGGTTCTCGCAGACAGAATCGCACTTAATTCGGTTCCAAATGCCGGCTCGCCGCACCAGGGCAGTCTCGTGGACACCCAGAACGGAGATTGGTACTACATGGGCTTCACGGACATCTATCCCGGCGGCCGCTCCCCCGTACTAGCTCCCATCACTTGGGGAGATGATGGCTTCCCGTCGCTGGTGACCGTCAACGGTGCTTGGGGAGACTACGAGTACCCGCTTCCCCGGGCGGATGTGCCGAGCGCTCTACGCACCGATGAGTTTGCCGGCACATCCCTCCGCCCCGAGTGGGAATGGAATCACAACCCCGATGTCAGTGGTATCGAGGTCAACAACGGAATCACACTCCGCACCGTCACTGTGACATCGGACCTGTACTCGGCTCGCAACACCCTGACCCACAGAATTCGTGGACCGATCGGAACAGGCACCGTCCACCTTAACGTTGCAAACATGGCCGACGGGGACCGCGTTGGCCTCGCAGCGTTGCGCGATAAGTCCTCTTGGATCGGCATCGAACGTGAAGGGGACGTGTATTCTATCGTCACTGTCGGGGGCTTGACTATGAACACTGATTGGACCACGAATTCGACGGGAGAAGTTGTTGAGCGCAGGCCATTGGGAGATGCCAGAGATGTCTACCTCAAGATGGTAGCTGATATTCGCCCTGGCGGGCCTGGAAATGTTGTCTTCAGCTACAGCGTCGACGGCCAAACTTTCGAGACTGTGGGCGCGTCATTCACGCGGTACAACAACTGGGAATTCTTCATGGGCTATCGATATGGCATCTTCAACTACGCGACAAAAGCATTGGGTGGCTCTGCGAGAGTTTCGTCGTTTACCAATGCTTAGTTCTAGTGTTGAGTCTCGAGGTTCTTGTGGAAACTCCGCCCAAACACGAAGAAGCAAGAAGTTTCTGAAATTGCAAATGGCCAAACTCAGGGAACACGTAATGTGGGAGAAAGAAGGGAACGTTCACCATTGTATTTACTCTTATTCTTCGGCTACGAATAATATCATCAATAATTCGCAGCAGCTGACGCCCCTCGGTTCGTCCACAATTTAAAGTCACAATGCAAGGAATCGGAGAAAGCCAACATACCGGGCAAAGCGCATCTCTTCCCCGCACTCAAAAGTCCGCAGGCTCCAACCTCCAACCCCGAGTTGGTGAGCCCCCAACCTCGCCGGGTAACCCGGACCTAAGCGGACCCAATAATGGAGCTTGATACGCGCCAAAAGGGACCAGAGACCCGGAGGGAGACCTGGGGTATTTGAACGCGATGCTTCATTTGGATCCAATGCCGAGGTTTGTTGGGTCCTCATGAGGAACCCCTCATTGAGAAGATGCCTAGCTCGCCTACCCAGATGTGCCATTTACGGTCACCTCCTCGTGCAGCAGGCTACATCCTGTCAATCCTAACCCCGCGCCCAGCAACTCTTCGAAGCCAGTGTCCCGGTCTACACGTGTACTATCTCACTACGGGCCGAACATGTGTGTGAAGTAGAGAGGATTATCGATGGCTGTCTGTTGACCGTGGCACTCAGCTGATTCGTCATCGGAGAGCGGTCTGGGATGACCCCTGACGATCCGAACACCTCGATATGCATTAGTTTTTTGGAGGCTAGCTTTCCCCCAGCCCACTGATGAATCTCCGAGCCTGTTGCGACTAAGAAAGCGCGGCAATGGGGAACTGTTTTGGCCAAGTGGGTTTCCCATCGACAGCTTTCCGCAGCTGCGGGAGCAGGTCTCAGTGCGGATATCGTTCTAGTTCGCTTGGCCGAAGGGGTCTCGGTGAGTATGCGACGTCATGCAAGTCTTGATAAATACCTCTTCGTTTCCCCCGAGCTTTCCTTTGGCGCTGACGTTGGACAACGGACCTTTGTTCTCCCCGGTCGTTCCGCATCCGTCTCTTGCTCTACCCTTTTAAGCCTCTTCTTCGAGTCTATCTCCCCAGATATCTCTCTCGATTCTTCCAGTACCTACAGTAGATCAGAGAGTTGACGCCACCCAAAATGAGAGTCAAGACTAGCACCGCCCTCACCGGCATTCTCGCCGCCGCCGCCGCCACGGCGCAAAACGCAACGAGCACCTGCGCGACCGGCGTGTACATTATCGTAGCCCGCGGCAGCAACGAAGCTCCCGGGTCCGGCAGAATCGGCAGCGTCGCCAATGGAACTTTCGCAGCCATTCCCGGGTCCCAGATCGCGCCGCTCGACTACCCGGCGACGTTTGACAATTATTCGACGTCCGTCGCCGCCGGCGCCGTTGCCTTGAATGCCGCGTTGACCTCCTATAACGCGCGATGCCCGAACTCCAAGGTTGCGCTGTTGGGATACTCTCAGGTAAGCTCCGGTCGCAATGAAGACTTCGATATTGCGCATCCATCTGCACCACCGCCAACTCAGATTCATGGGATGACATGATCACCCATCTTACCAGAGCGCCGGAAAGGAGGGTGGCAATTGGGCGGGAAAATTGGACGGCTGCTTGAAAATTTACTTTTGTTTTCTTCCGCTGACTTGCATGAAACTTTAGGGTGCGCAAGTGACAGGTGATACTCTGTGCGGCAGCGTCGACGAGGACGAGGGCGAGGCTCTCAACATTGAGTTCAATCAGACGGCGCCCGTTCCCGCATCCGTCGTCGACCAAAGTGGTTAGTAGCCGCCCACCCAGTCACTTTCTGTTGACATGATCGCGAAGCTTACACATCTTCAGTCATCGCCGTGATTCTCTTCGGGGACCCAACCCACAACGTCAGCGCAAGCTGGAACAAGGGCACGAGCAAGCGCAACGGAGTAAGTTCCACCTTGGCGAAACGTGGTGGCGGAATCAAGCCCCTACCTCGAATACCTAGTGTAACGTCGGACTTGCTGACTCGTTCTTCTCTAGCTCTTCCCCCGTGAGAACGTGACCAAATGCGAGGCATACGCGTCCAAGATTGAGTCCTACTGCGACACGGGAGATATCTACTGCGATCTCGGTAACAACACCGCCGTTCACGGTTCTTACTTTGCCAACTACACCGACGATGCCGTTGAGTTCATCTGGGCGCAGTACAACGCTTCCAAGTCAACCAACGGTTCGTCGCCGACTGCCACCCCCACTACAGTTCCGGGATCCGGAGCTGCCGACTCAGCCCCGGGCCTGCTAATGTCCCTGGCTGGTCTGTCTATGCTGGCGGCTTTCATCTTGTAAGAGAATAAGTTTGTATCATTGGGAAAGCATGCTGGAGAAATTTCATGGGGCATGGTGGCAATCCACCGGCTTTGTAATCATTCAATAATGACCGCTATGATCTGAAGACACCTTCTCGAGCTTCCCGGGACTTTCATCCCACCGGCATTTACAACTTTCCCAACACTCCACCCCCGAGAATGAACTCCATTATTCACTCGGTCCGTAAGTGCCGGACCGACGGCGCTGTAAGGTTCAGAATCCAGTCGTCCTCGTTACTTTGAACAGCCATACTACAAAATGAGCCGCCATTCAGTGCTCTGTGGCTTCAGAGACCATGCGTGCAACTGTCTAGCAGTAGCTGATTTCTATATCAAGCATACTCCGCTGCCGAGCCTTATCTAAACGTCCCGTTTGCGGCGAGCTAGTAAAAGTTCGGATACCCTCCACGTGCGGCTTAAAATGGGTTCACAACTCAGCTACAACCAAGATTAATGTTTTTGGGACCGCAGCTCGTGTCAAGTCCAATCAAACTCGGTAGCAATCCGCAGCAATTCGCTCGCCTCGCCGTTGCTGTGGATCATATCTCTTGGCATTCCACGGTAGCCAGGCCTCCATTCCAAAGCTGGGTCTCTAAGACGGGCCGAGAGCATGGCTACCGGGCCTTCCCGTCTGGCTGGCTTAACCCCCTCGTGGGCTGGACCCTTGAGGGAAGAATCAGGATACAAGAGGATCTCGTTTCTCAGTGAGTGTGTTCTAGAGTATGTAAGTACTCACGTGTACTGTTCTGCACTACGCCCATACACCTCCACAGCTGTCTCTGTGGTAACGTGCAAAACCTGAACCCGATCTCGATTCGCTAAAAACCAACATCAGGCATCGCGTGATGTCTCGCGCGCCATGCAAGAGCTGAACTATGAGTAAATTGAAAGTCTTTAGGACTTACCACTCAAGTGCACTTGTTCTTATGGTCTCGGCTCATCCATAAAACGGCAAGTGTCTGGCAGTCAGCCCATGCAGCTCAGCTTCTCCGGATGCGGCATCAATGGGTGTGGCATTGAATTTCAGCTCCGACCGAAACAGTCCCACTCAGTGCCATCGGCTGTCCCAAAGGCTGCAGATCAGATAAGGCTGACAGCATGATCAGTACACATTTGAGAAATTAAAACCGCTGTCGCCAGCCCTCATGCTGCCCACTCTCACACAGGAGCTCCAATTCAAGTCAACACCAATATCAAATCCTCACCTAAAAGTCTTTCTCGCTACGTTGTATTCCACCATGTCTACGTTGAGTCTCTTCCAGCAGATCCATCTGCAGTCCTTGACTGCCAACCTAGCAGGCTCAATCGTGGGCCCCGAATGGATTCTCCAGGACGCCATGAACATCGCAGCCAAGCGCATGGTCAAGAAGCACCTAAGCCAGTACGGATGGGACCTCACCTGGGGTCCCCGAGTATGGAAGTCGGAGACTTCAAAATGGTACGAAGGCCTCAACAACTGTTGGATGGTGATGAAGGCATCCAACGTCGAGTATCCCGACGGGACCAAGTTCGACACATACGTTGTGGCGATTGCTGGCACTGCTGTATTCTCGATAGAGGATTGGAAGTTCGAGGATTTTGGAGTCGACAAGGTAGTGGACTTCAATGCCTACACCAAAACCTTCAAGACCGGTTCCGCAGAGCAGCCTGTCGGGGTCCAGAATCCTCCTTTCCGCGACATTCCGTACGGCGCCTGGGGAACAACCCTCGGTGCTTGGGCAGTCGTAACACATGCCTCACCGAGCGGAAATCCGGGAGCTGGTACAAACCTCTTAGAGTATCTCGCCAATCTCAAGAAGAGCCCGGGAGACTTCCGAGTCATCTTCACCGGCCACAGCCTCGGAGGCGCCCTTTCGCCCTACCTGTCCCTGGCAACCAAGGCCAACAATCTCGTTCCGGGCGTGGCCGATATTGCGGGTGACATCCTCGCCCTTCCTGCCGCGGGAGCCACACCAGGCGAACAGCTTTTGAGCGATGCCTACTCTAAGCTGTCGAAAGTGAGCGGCCCAGGCGGGTATCAGTTGTGGAACGCGGACTTTTACAACACCCTTGACATCGTTCCGAACGCTTGGTCAACGGACGACACCCAGGACCGCAATATTGACAAGATTGTGTCAATCTACGGTCCTCTACAGGGAAAGATTCTTACACAAATTCAAGGCCTCGTGCAGAAGGCAAAAGATCGCGCCAAGTCATCCGGCTTCACATACATCCCTATCGAAGGCAACCCTTTCAAGGGTACCCCTCCAGCCAAGACTCCTACGAATTTCCTCTCATTCATGTCCGAGGCCGTCTTGCAGCATACAAAGGCTTATCATAATGCAGTTAACGTCAGTGACGAGTTGGTTGATCTTTACGATACCATCATCAGCGCGTCTGGGGTGAAGAAGAAGTCTGCCAGAATCCTGGCTAAGGAGATGCCGGTGCTCTGTAATGTTGATGATAGCGAGTGGGATGATAACAGCGATGAGACATATCCATTTGATTGTATCCTTACTGGAGAACGGGTTGCGTGATAATTATAAGTTGTGGAGGGGTGGCCTCTCCATTATGAAGACTCGAAGTTGTATACCAACACACCATTGAACCAGTTAGTTGGCAAGCATTGTCGCCTTTGCAATCGAAGTTTTCGTCCTCTCACTATAAGCTACTAGGTTCCTATGTAGTAAAAGTCAACGCTACACTGTCTTTCGAGACTATCGCTTCCAATCTTAGCTCTGAGGTCACTGTTGTCATCGCCAGGCCGCCTGAATACCTCTTTATTGCGCGATATCCACACTCGATGTCAACGGGCAAGACTTCCGGCATTCTTAGTGACCGACTTTCACCCCCTACGGAGATCGATTGCCTTTGGTCAGTCCTTCGGTGCGAAAGATCCCTCTTTCCGGGCCTGCCGCCGCGGGCGCGAAGGCGAGGCATCGTCCACCCCCGGCTACCGCCCTCGACCCCTACGTGGGTCGTCGCCGGACGCCATCGGGGTCTTAGGTGCTCATGCCTTCAGGAAAAATCAAGCGTCGATGGTTTAGTGGTAAAATTCTCCGTTGCCATCCAGCAGCGTCGGGGAGCCGGGGGTTCGATTCCCCCTCGACGCATCCCCTTTTGCTCGTGGCTCAATTACTTTAGTTCTTGTCACCAGGGGCGTGCAATTTGCGTTTTACTGCTTTGAATCATCTTTATTGCCATTGTGCGAGGCCTGGTGTTGACTTATTGCCATCCATGAATTATGCCGCGTAAAGAACCTTAAACACCCAGCCGAATTGATCGGCCTCAACAAGAGTCTCCTCCACCTTGATCTTCAACTCAGTGCTGACTCCTGATCCGCTAATCTTCCACTCGAGGTCTTCAGCACCTTTGACGCTGAGGAGACTGATGATATCTCCTTCAACGACGGGGATAGGTGCCTTGATAGAGACCCAGCCGTCAACCACGGTCGGCTCCTCCAAGAAGACTGTATAGAAAGCCTCTTCCGTCTGGGTGAACCTAACATCCGGGCCACCAGCAATCTCGCTCTGCACAAACCAGTACGTGGTGTTGAAGATGGCCTCCTCATGAGCTTTGATCCACTTGCCCGCCTCACGCAGGTTATCCATCTCAGCCTGAACGATAGTACCATCTGCCTTGGGGCCAATGTCCAACAAGAAGTTGCCGTTCTTGGAAACCATGTCGACGAGAGAGTACACGATCGTGGTGGCATTCATATACTCCGCGGGCTTCGTCGCGCGGTTGTATCCGTAGCTGTACGGATCCATGCCGCGGTTGCTCTCCCACTTGCGTCGCTGTGCGGACGCAAAGGTCTGGTACTCGGGTGTGTCAAAGTCAGCCGCCTCCGGGATGCCGCAGCGGGAGTTGATGGCGACCTGTCGGCCCTCGGCCCGGGCCTTGTTCCACCATGTCGCCGCGAAGTCTTGCGTGCCGTTGGCGGCGCCGCAGTCACACCACATGATGTCCGTGCCGTAATCATATGCCAGGGTCTCCATTTGGGGCACCATGAGGTTGGTGATGAAGTCGTTGACGGGGACGCGGCCGGTGTATGGCTCAAGCTCGCCGGTATATGGGTTGGAGGCCAGCACGCCAGGCCAGGAGACGGCTGATGGCGTGGGGAACTGGACGAAGCCATAAGGGCCAAAGTCTGGGTTGAACCATTCGGGAAGCGAGAAGTATGTGCCTCGTTTCAAGTCGGGCTGGTAAGTCTTCGCGGCGTCGAAGAGCTCCTTCAGCAGATCGCGCTTGGGACCGTAGTGGATTGATGAACGGTTGGAAGTCTCTCCGGCATCGAAGAGGGCGAAGCCATCGTGGTGCTTCGTTGTGAGGACGAAGTACTTGGCGCCGGCGTCGGCGAAGAGGTCAACCCACTCTTTGGCATCGAACTTGGAGGCGTTAAACTCTGGGAAGGTATCGTCGTAAGCCCAGTCGGGACCATAGGTGTCAAGACGGTATTGGTAGAAGTTGGAACGGTCGCCTTCGGGGTGGTGGGTAGAGTACCACCAGAACCACTCGGCGTAGCTCTCATACGGAGTCGAGTTGCCCCAACCTGTGACGGAGTACGGGCCCCAGTGGATGAAGATGCCATACTTGGCATCGTCGAACCATTCTGGGCTTTCATGCTTGGACAGACTCTCTCCGTCGGCAGTCCATTCGGTCAAGCCAATCTCAACGTTGGCAAAAGAAGTCTTCTTCCGGATACTGCCGTCGTCAACGTGAACAGCAATGTTGACTGGACCGGCCGATGCGCCATTGGTGCCGACGACAACAACCTTCTGGTCTCCCGGGCACAATCGCTTCAAGTGTCCAGGGCTCGTAGTAATGAATCCGTCTCCAGTAAGCGTGATCTTGAGGCCGTCGCCAGAGACGCACTTCGATCCAGCGTTGTTGACAGTAACCTCCACAACTTGCGTTCCGTTACCGATCCACTTCTGCGTCGGTCTCACCGACTGAACCGCTACATCCGGGGCTTGCTGCCACAGGGTAATAGCAAAGACGTGAAGCCGGCCCTCAGTCGCATTGTTCTTGTCGGGCAGAGTGACTGAGGTAAGCTTCTTCCCCGGCGGCAGCGCAGTCGTCCGTTCAAAAATGTGCGAGGTGTTAAAATCGGAGCCGTTGGCTGTATACCGGCTAGGGAAGATGATCTCTCCGCGGTTGATGGTCAGGAAACTGAACCAATTGAGCGTGCGAAGCTCGTACTCGGAGGTGGTATTATCGGAGTAGGTGAAGGACACGTTCCCGCTGACGGTGGCGCCTTCAACGTCCCCCGCGACGAGGAATGAGGCGGAGAAGTAGGAGCCGTTCCGCGGGACCGAAATCTTTTGACCGGTGCAGATGAGGTTATCGGGTCCCGTGGGGCCGGTGTAGCCCGGGAAGCTGTACTGGATGCCCGTGTCGGTTGAGACAAAGTCCGGGCCTAAGGTCGGCTCGGGGAAGGATTGGTTGAGGGCATCGAATGAGGCCTCTCCAGGTTGAGTACCGAAACCTTTGTTGTTGAAGAGGGAGGTCAGGTCGAGAGCGACCGATTTCTGTGAAAGATTTCAGCGATCGCCCTCAATTGCACAGCCATGTTAAGCTACCGAGCTATCCAGGGCTACTTACACCAGAGGAAGTCGAATTGGTCACCGCCCCGAGCGCAAGACCGCTCAAAGACAGCACCGAGAGGGCATTGAAGCTGCTGAATCCCTTCATCTTGACAAGCGCAACTTTGTGAAGCTCAATTGCTCTGCCTAGACTGGATCGCGACAACACATCGCAACCCGCAGCCGAGGAAGCTCACCCATTCTTAACGGCTGCCATCAGCTCGGTAGCGGGGGACTCTGGCGATCCATCCCCTAGTGGGACGATTTCCCCCTCAATTCAGTTCATCCAGCAGGTCGCTGCAGTTCGACTACGAATGGAACGGTTACATTCTCCAAAATGAAAGTCCACTATTCATGTTACCATCAATATTCGGGGAGAGGTTGGCACAGTTGGGGTTGCCGGGTAGTGAGGGGCGCCGCTGATAAGACTAACAAACATTGGAGAATGGAGATAGCACCACTTCCCCGGACGTCATCCAGGCAGGGATTTCCACGTTGAGCTTCGTATCAATGGGGCTGTCCTGCAAGGAACGCTATCGCGGTTGATTAGCCATGATGCCGATGCCGGCATGCGTCTACGAATACTATCTCTTGTCAAACATCAACGCAGCGAAGTGGCAGGCCACAAGCATCGTTTCTCGTTAATCGCTAATCCCATGCGCTGAATGGTGCCATTCATTGCCTTTCATTTTCCATATGTCCTTGTATTCACTCCGACTTTCAGTTCTCACAGCTCACGCTTATACTCTGTAAGTGAGCACTCATCAATAAGTAGACGTGTAATTGGTAAGCATGGTTTTCTCTTCAGTTGAATCAGCATTCTTATTCTGCGGCTTACTTAGGTTTTGTCTCTTGACATAGTCCATCAGACTTGCCAAGGCTTATCACACCAACAAAAGTGCACTGTAAGCGACGACGCCGATTGTGTGAGAGAAGTCAGATAGGCATGAGCCAAACTCAATGAGCAGTGGCCCTCCGCCTGGACGATCTCACGACTTCATAAATATGTCATCTCCTTAGAGTTAAATCTTCCTGTTCACAGACAATCATGGCTTTGAGTGCATGGTGTCTGGGTTGCGTGACGTGACGCAGGGGCAAAATTGACATTTCGTGGGGTAGCAAAGTTCACGTCATCACACTGAGAGGCTTTCCCAGTTTCACTCACTCCTACTAATCGTAAATGCTCTCGATTTGAGATTCCTTGGTTGGAATATTTCACATATATGCACCAAAGCTGAATGATTTGAAGAATGTTTTGTGGCCAATCCGCACATAGCCCTCGGCTTTGCATGTATAGAAGTTGGCACTTGACAGCCGTCACCCACAGGTGCTGCGAGTCTCGGTCTCGCGCTTGTTTGGCATTGTCCGTGTTGGCTGATGTTCGGCTTGGCACTCTCAGCCAGAAACGGTAAGAAGGGATGAGAGATGGCTGTGAATGAGTATTTGGAAAACAAATTCCCAACATTTGACAGGCGGGCCGAGGTTTAGTGTTTCTTCTTCTGCAAGAGGCGCAACGGGGTGAATTAGGGGGTTCTAGTGCCAAAGAACGCGAGCCCTTCCTTTGGGTCAAAAACTGGAGCCGACGATCATGTTTGACAGAAGCCACTTTTTGTTTCTCTTAAGCAGCCGGAAACCGACAACTTTAATTCGAGTTCTTGTTTGAAATGCTGGCAACGATAATTCTTGATGAGAAAATTGCCCGCCGTTGGTTGGAACATCGAGAATTGATCGTACACATCTGCAGTCTTCGATCACGTCTTTGAACGTCACAATGGCGTGGATAAATAAATAGTTCACCAATAATGTTTCTTCTATTGAGTATTTTGAACCCCTCAAAGCCGTCTGAGCTTGCCCTGCAGTCGCCCGACCGAGGGTACTATGATGAAAAGAATACACATCGAATATTATTCGCCATGCTACCTAGAAGACCACCCTAGAACAAAAGAAAAGCCTAGAAATGCTGTCCCAGACGTCGTCTCACCGGGAACGACCTCCGTCTCATGATCTCGGACCTCTTCTGCTCCACCGGCTTCTGCTGCGCGGCAAAGTTGGTCATCATCTCCCACGTGGCCATGACGCCACCATTCTTCTTCGACTCGGCCATGGCCATGAGGTCGGCCATCTTCATCTCGAAACCTTGTCCCATGGGGAAGGGGGCAGCGGCCGGAGGAGCCGCAGGCTCTTGTCTGCGGGCGGGGCGGCCAGGTTCGCCGACGGGCTTCGGGGCGTTGGCGGGCCTAGGAACGCCTGCGGGTGCGATTCCGGGCTGGGCTTGTCCAGGCTGGGCACCGGTGATGCCGCCGCCTCCCTGCTGAGGAGCGGGCTGGACAAGACCTCCACCACCTTGCTGAGGACGGGGCTGGCCCTGCTGGGGCTGCTGGCCGGGCTGAGCGCCTTGTTGAGGTGCAGGCTGAGGCTGGGTGCCAACGGGAGTGCCGGCAACCATCATGGTAAGGATAAACTCGCCGTCGATTTGATTGACAGGAACGGCAATACGAGCGTTCTCTCGATCAAGGAGAACCTGGGCGTTGATCGGGCTGAAGGTTTGAGCCAGAAGGAGCTGGGTCGCGGCCGGGATCGCGGGACCGACGGGCTGCGGCTGCTGACCGTTCTGCGGCTGCTGACCGTTCTGAGGCTGGTTCTGCGAGTTTCCTCCGTTGTTGTTACCGTTGTTACCGTTATTGGGTCCGACAGCGGGAGCGGCACCGGCTGCAGCTCCAGCACCATTGCCAGAAGTGTTGCCATTGCCATTACCGTTGCCATTACCATTCGCGGGAGGTTGCTCAGTTGCAGTGCCGTTGTTGGGCTCCTGGCGTTTGAAACGAGGAGCCTGCAGACCACCAGTCGCTCCGCCGGGGTTCTGGAGAACCGGGCGTTGGGCAATTCCGAGCGTGATGGAGGACTGGGGCTGGGCACCTGCGCGCATGGCCATAGCCATGAGTCGATCAACGTTGACTAATGTTTCATATTCCGGTCAGTGCCGAGTTCAACAATGAGACAAAGCTTATTTGCAGGAGAATAGACTTACGCGGCATCTGGACAACGGCAGTCATGCTGTTGAGGCTGGGAACGACGCCAGCCAAGTTGCTGGTGACGAGATAGCGGTAGTTGTCTGTCATTGTGTGTTAGCGGGTTGCCATTCAAATAAGCGTGGGCTTCGGGGTAGTTAGGCCACTCACTAATGGACATGATGCCGTTGGTGACCATGTCAGTGCTAATGCCATTAACGACATCCGTGCGGATGCTCATGGGCTGGCTAGCTCTGATGGACATGCGGAAACCGTCGTTGAATTCAGCCTCTTGGATGCCAGATCCAGCGATGTTGACGGGCGTGCCGAAGGGAGTCAAGGAGACACCGAGTTCGCTCGTTTGGCGGCCGACTGCGACATACTCTCCATCAATCTGGTTCAGCTTGACCATGCGGACGGTAGCGTCGGTGATGTTGACACTCTTAGCTCCCTCCATGATGATCCACGCCTGACGGTCCCTCGAAAGCATCGCCACGAAGGTGTTGTCGGCTGTGACGCCTGCCTGCGACAACATGTTCTGGTCAATGGGCAACTCGATCTGGGCGCCCACTAGGTCGGTGGCTCCATTGGTTTGGATAGTGAAGGAGTTGCGCGAGAGTTGAACGAAAGGCTGCCCCGTTGAACCGACGACATGGCTTGCCGGGAGAGGGTTGGGGTTCTGGTTGACGATGACTTGGCGTTGCGTCTGCGAGAATGTCTCAATCTTGGAGTTGTCGGGGAACACTAGGCTGTTCAGTTGCATCTAAGATGTCGTGTTAGAATATGTCTATGACAGTGAAGCCAAGATGCCATGGCCATCTTTCTCTTGTGAGGCGAAGAAGACTTGATGAAGACCAAAGGCCAGTGTGTGCCAAGAGGCTAGTGACTTACATCCCCATTCAGGTTAATGACCTGATTGAATTGAGCAGATTGAATCTGAGCCGCGACCAAGCCAGCAAACAGAAAAGAAAGATGTGAAAACTTCATGAGCGTCATTATGATTAACGAGGGTCAACCACCGGGGTTGTTTAAGCGCACGAAAAGGAAAAAGGAGGATGACTAGGGAAGGAGAGACACCGTTACTAAACCCACGGGTCCTAGGGGGAAGATGTTTGTATAGCAGCACGACCAACTCGAGGGATCATCAGCATTCAGACGAGGGTCAAGTAAGCTTAATCTCCTCGGGAGGAGAAGCGCGGCTGGGTCTTGGATATATGGCAAGGTACAGAGTCGACAGACCCATGGCAATGATGACCTGCCATGCCACATGGCGGACGGCCGGCATGGAATTTGATCGGGTGGTCGGACGTCTAGTGGCAGCGCCCAGCCGAAGGGGAGCTCCATCCTCCAATCGCATGAGTTGTCTGGCGTCGGCTGTGCAAGAGAGATCGCTGCAGACGCCGCTCCCATCCTCTTCCGGCCGCACAATCTGTTGATGCTGATGCGCCCCTGGGAGGAAAGTAGGTGTAAGGGGGCATCGGGCTTAATCATCGGACCAGCACGCTTCCGACCAAGATGGCCTGTCTGGGTGCCTGGCCTGACTGTGCCAGACTGGTGCCAGTCTTTGCCAGTCCTCTTTGCAGCAGGCGAGGAAACACAAGGAGGGAGAGTCAAAGAGGGACACAGATCCGCGCCGAGGGATGGGGGATGGGAGCATTCTTCGTCCGGTCACGAGTGGGAGGAGGAGAGGGGCAAAGAGGCTCAAGGCAGGGCATCGTCGGTTTCGGTTGGTGTGAGACGAGTTTCGTCGTTTCGAGCCCGGCCGTGTTGAGTTTCATCAGATGAGGCCGGGCGGACAGAGAGGCAAACGTGTGACTATGCAGGACTTTCTTGCTTACCTCACCCTTTCCCTGCTATGTAAGTCGAGTGCTTCCCAGTCTTCTTGGAGAAACTAGGTGGCATTACCAGAGGGGGCGAAGATCATAATAATGACGGATCCCTGGGTCCCGACTCTCCCGTTTGGATCTTCTTTGCCAAGTCAAAGTGGGGATGATTTTCGTTTCGTCGCGGCTGATGTGCAACTTGGGAAAATGCTTGGCGAATGCTTGACCTCGCGCGGCTCTGCAGCTGAACTTCTGCATGTTCTGACCCTTTTTCTGTGTCTATGTGTTCATGTTCCCATCCTGCTAAGTACGACTCAGCTATAGGCTGCAGTAGCCCTCCTCTTAGACTACTCTTTTTCTCTCCCACATTCCTGCCCCCCTCCCCATCCCTCTTGAGTCCTTGACACTACACCTTTAGTTTGCCCACACACTTTCTCGGACTTGATGACATGACCCATGCGTTCTACTTTATTGCTTCTGGAAGATTGTCTGTCGTCATCATCAATTTTCTATCGTAAGGTAGTCATAGCATGAATTATTGGCGGTTCGCCTCCTCGTGCAAGTTTGACTGGGCGTATGATTGAGCAGTTCCACGCTAGCAGGCTGTCTGTGCTCATTTACACGGTCACATCAGAGGCGATCATGATTATGGGGGACCATTCCCTCGGAGTGGCCTTGGGGCTGAATCCCGTCAAGAAACTAGTCATCGCCTCAGAATGATACAGCCGGCGGGCAGACCCTACAATGCTGAAATACAATGACGGGTTCAAGAATCGCCCGACTCGCCATCAAATGTGCTTCATTGGCCATTGGGGAGGGATCTTGCTGGTTGACGCCACAACCATCTGTACCCTACGAGACAGATGACAGAAGACTTGTTCTTCTCTCTTCATCTCCCGCTAGCGACGGAGATGCCAGATGGTGTTGACTCGGTCAGTCTAACCTGGTTCTCTACCCGATAACCCGAGACGACTTGCCCTTCTCGACTCGACTAGGCAGCACGCACCACCTCCACCAAGGCGGACTAAATCTCCGACTTGGCGTTTGTATGCAGGCACCAAGCAGCGTTACCACGAAGTCCCCTGCTGAGTCGAGCAGAGTCTCATGAGGACGAATCCTTGCTCACCTACCCAGCACCTGACTTCACTCAAACCCCAGGTCGCCCCAGCTCACCCCAACTTCCTCAAACCACTTTGACCCCCTTCGTCTGCTCGATATCGTCTGTTCCCATTTCTCCCCATTGGCCCCTCTCTCTGTCTTTTCTTAGAACTACCCGTCTTTAGCTAATGGTTGTTCGTTGCTTTAACACTCTTCCCTGCCATTCTCGTCTTGGCGTTGCAACACATTGTTCTTGGCCGCGACATCTGGAGTGCTTCGAACGCAACCATCACGACTCCCCAAGCGCTGATGCGCCTGATCTCTTTTCTACCCCTCACCCTTGACATCTTTCAGACCAATATCATTTTCATCCAAGAAGCAGCAGTCACTTTGTTCCATCTTCAACCACCAACCTACCTCTTGTGGACATTTGATATAAGCCCTTCCACCGTCCTGTTCATCTGCACACGTTTCCGGGCCGGTGAACTCTTTCCGATCTCAGTCGTGTTTTTCTTTACTCCATCTCACCTAATCAACTTTCTCTTTTTGTCATCGAAGTGGTCGGACGCCTTTGGAAGGCCCACCATTCAATCACTCTCCTTTAGGACCATCTCGCCTAATCATACACACTCACCACTTCCTTTCGCGTCGCCTATCTCTTATTCCCTTCACCTCACGTGTGTGTTGTTTACTGTTCGGTCCACTCGAGCTAGTCTTTAGTTTCTACGACATCCAAACAACACCGCCATAATGCAGTACTCCTTCGTTCACGTCTTTGTCTTTTCGTACCTGACTGCTCTCGGTCTCGCCCTCCCAGCTGCCAGCCCGGCGCAAGGCAACTCGTTGGGCAGCCACCGGTTCCTCGCGCGAGGTGTCAGACGTCTGGATACTCGGGCTCCTCAGCAGGATCAACAAGCTGGCGCCAGCCAAGGCGCAAACAACACTGCCAACACTGGCGGCGCCGGGCGCAATGGCGTCAGCGATGCTCAGGTCATGAACGCCGTCATGTCCTGGATGCAGGATACCGCAAAGGTCACCAAGTTCCTCAACACCGCCACATCCTTCACCGGCGCCGAGTTCACCAAGCAAGCCACTATTGCGCTCAACGCCGAGATCGACGAGCTCAACCACAAGATGGTTCTCGACGCCGCCTTCCAGGGAACGGACATGGTCACGCAAGCCAACAATGTGCTCGACACGCAGGGTAACTTCCAGCAGGTTGTCGATACTCTTCAGAGCATGGTTACCAACGGTCCCGACACCGCGCAAAGGGATGTCAACTCCATCAACCAGAACCGTTGTGTCAATGTCCTTCCCAACATCGACATGTACTTTGCTGCCGCTGGCCAACCCAACATTCAGTCTGTTCGTCCCACGGGATGTCTGGAGGTTGAGGGCGCCAACGTTACTCCCGCGGTTCCGCCACCAGCGGGCGGTGCTCCCGCTGCACCTGCGGCGACCACCCCTCCGAAGGCCGGCAACGGTAATGCCAACGGAAATGGAAACGCCAATAACAACCAGAACCAGGGCAACAACAACCAGAACCAAAACCAGAACCAAGGGAATAACAACCAAAATCAGGGCAATGGCAACCAGAACCAAGGGAACGGAAATCAGAACCAGGGCAACGACAATCAAAACCAGGGTAATGATAACCAGAACCAAGGAAACGGCAACCAGAACCAGAATCAGGGCAACAATGGCGGCCGGAACGGTGGTCAGGATATCGGCAAGGGAGTTGGCAACAACGGCAACACCAACACCAACACTAACACGAACACGAACACCAACCAGAATCAGAATCAGAATCAGAATCAGGGCAACCGCAATGGTAATGGGAATGCGAACACCAACACCAATACCAACACGAACACCAACCAGCAGGGCAACAATCAAGGCAATAACGGTGCTCCGAATAGCAACCAGAACAACGCCAGCACTGGCCTTCAGCCTGCTACTCTTGGTTCTGGCAACGCCAACGCGAACAATGGCAATAAGAACCAAGGCCAGAGACAGCCTCAGCAGCAATCACAGCAGGCGCAAAGCCAAGGCGGTTCATCCCTCAAGCCCGCGACGCTGGGCTCGCCAAGCCCCGCTGGCAACTAAACGCCACACGATCTTGCCACGAGGGGTCACTTACCTCCCCCCCATTTTCCCCAAAGGTGGCCGCGCGCAAAAGTTCGAGACCCCGATACGATAAGCGCCCACTTCTCGCTGGGCGGACTTGACCGAAGAGGGGGGGGTGACACTTGTGTGAATCCCGCCATCTGCGACCAAAGTCTGATGTTTGGTGACGGAAAGCTTGAGGCGACACGTGTGGTGGGCCCTACTGAGCTGGGTGTTAGTGGTGTGTCGTTTGCTTCTTCTTCTTCTTCATCTCTGTGTTAGTCATGTGTTTATCAGGGGGGGTTCAGTCTTTTGCGACGGTGTGGGTGGGAAAACAGGGAAAGGGTCCCTCGGTGCTTGGTGCTTTTTGGTATTAGTTTGAAGGCCTGCTTAAAACGTTGGTCAAAAAATCTGTTCTCTGTAACATATCATCTCGTTCTTCTTACAAAGCACTAGAGCATGGAATCTTCTTCTTAATCACGTTGTTGTACAAACCCTGTCAATTGTAGTTTGGAATGAGTCACATCCTTATACATAATTGGAAAGTCCTACCAACTCTGTGCTCGAAACTGATCCAACAGCTGGCCCCATCCTTGGAATGTTTAGAATATCGTGAAACGAAACGTCAGATTGTGCCCCTTGGGATCCAGGGGTCCTGCATGTAGGATGTCGCGCAGTTGAGCCGCTTGGATCGCTCGGCCGAATCCGCCAGTCCCCATTTGCAGATCATTCCCCACGTCGCGCTCCGGAAGTTGCGATTGGCTCCCTCGTCTAGGCCGGGGTCGCCTTCCACAGTTTCGGGACGAGGGTATGGGAACCATGTTCAAATACAGCATCAATAATACGCGAGGTTCGAGTGAGCCTCAAAGGGCTGAAGTCTATTGTCTGTGCTTCAATCTCTCTAGCGCGCGAAATCGCGAGGAGAGGGCAGACGATGTGGTGCTGCGCTCAGCCTCGATATCTTTTATCTTAGATACACTCCGGTGGCTTCTACGTTTTTGTGCCAGTGCATTTGAGATCTGTCATGATAAACCTTTTCGTATTCGACCACGTGAGTGAGGTGGTCCTCACATGAATGGAGACCACAGGTTGAGACCAGATAGAATCCTGTCGAGAAAGCAAATGCTCAGACCGTCCCGGTCTCGCTTTCAATCTCGTACCTGATCCGACCTTTTCGCCCAACTTCCATCTCCTAACTGTCGTTCGAGCCCCTCTATCTACGATGTAACAACCTGGTGCTACAATATGATCACGGCGGGCAGCGAACACCAGACTCTATCAAACATCAATTCCCGAGAGGCTAGGTCGGTTGAGTCGGATCTCTTCCCTCGAACCCCGATCTTAGTCATTTCTCCGCTGCCGATCGGGAGCATTCTGAACCCCCCTGTTACGTCGAAACGGCCAACCCTGTCCCTGTTTCGTTGTGTACGGCGTAAGGGTGTAAGGCGATTGGCCACATCGGCGCCTGAGACAGGGAGCAAGCGAACGCATGATGCTGTTCTGACAGTTAACGATGAAATTCGTCAGTTCGCGAACCGGACCGACGAGATTCTTCTTGGGGGCTCCATTGGGCGAATGCCCAGTTTATCTTGGCATGTCTCTGTATGCGTGGAGCTATCGCGATTGCGGGATGTTCTCCGTCAGACGAGACGTTGGACTCGCGAAGCGGCCATGTCAGCTCGTCGGCTATGATGTTGCATTCCACGCATCCGTAATGTTGTGGACCCTTCGGCCCCCGGATAAAGTAGAAACCTCTAACGGCGATCACGTCCTTCTCTGTTTCGATGATCACTCACGGTCCATGAAGCATATCTCGAAGATCTCAGCGTGCCTATGAGCTTAAGCGATGGGGCCCAAGTAAGGTTGCATGTTTATGGGAGACAGACTTAATGAATGTCCAATATGGCATGGGTAAGCGAATCCCCCGGATCGGCATTGATCTGAGCTTGCGGAAACATCACAAAGCAACTCCTATGGAGCCGATTGCAACTCCTACTTGCTTGAAAAGATCTTCAACTCCAGACAATAATTTCGAATCTCGGAATGCCAGTGAGCCGCATTCACAGCTGCCAGCCAAGAACATATGATTACGAGGTCAGGTATCAGATATGAAGATCGCTTTTCGAAACTTGGCTATCATGATGCCTCTCCGGGCCAATTGTAATACGTTTTCAAACCTGATGATCAGGAAAGCATTTTTCATTGCTGCAATAACATAGTTGTTGATGCTTAAGGGAGCCTTTTTTTGATATTCTCTACATGTACAGTTAGGCAGTTGATGTCATCGCATACGGTCTAGCTATAGGCTTGCTTTCCGTACTGCAGAATCCCACAAAAAATACAAGGCGCACGTATATCGCATCAATGATCATAGCACGCAGCGCAATTACCGATTTCTGAGGGATTGCTCATACTTCATCATTTGAGCACTACAAAAGGTTGTATCCTTGAACTATCCCTCCTCCCTTTTTGTAGCAACGTTTTTCGAAAGGATTAACATTAAGGAAGCTATTGAATACGAGCAACAAGAAGAATCGAACAATATTCTGGATAGTTACACGCAACGATTATGGATCTTGAATCAGTAGAACATGTTTCTTTGTCTTGCTGTCTATCATTTTTTCATATCACGAATTAAGTTACGGACAAGCTCTGGCATTATGTCACTGCTAAAGTTAAGTTCATTCATTGTTGTTGTCAATTGAGTAGAAATCTTGGCAATAAAAAGTCTCACCAATCTGCTGTTTAACTTTCAGATCGCACAGATTAGTACCATAAAGTCAGTAGAATCACTCAATAGAGTTGAAGGTTGCTCCGGGTTACCAAATCAATGACTTGATAAGAATCGGCACGCCTACATCCAAGGCTTTCCAAGTCTTCAAGACTGCAATGTTATCAATTATATCTCGGGCTTGAAGCATTCATGAAGACGAGCAGACAAAATAGGGACGGAGACTTAGCAGCCTTTGGCAGTCGAAACCTTTCTGGAAATCTTGCTCTACCACGGGGGGCAGACAGGACACCCAGCATGACCAATCGGTCTTCCAGCTGATATCACCAACATCTTGATCATCTTACAATACCTCTTTGAGGGGTTCATTAATCTCTCATTTTAATCAATTACATGCTTTGAAACTTTGAACTCCGATTGGTAAATCATACTTGTACTTTCATGTAGGAGAACCACATTGCTAATTGACGGCGGTTGTTCTGCAGTTGCTTTTGATAGCGCTATCCCATAGAAACTTCTCTCAGTATACTTTCATTAGAGTCCAACTTCAGAACAAAACCATTGATTGAATCTTCTCACTTGGCCACGCAAAATGCTTTGAGCATCATTTGGCCTCTCAATAAGTTGACTTTCTTGATATCATGTGAGCATTTCAAAGCTTCAACCAATGATTCGGACTGTCCTTCACTTCCACTTGAGGCTTAGTTAAGTGGGGCTACAAGTGGCTGTGCAGGGGTGTCGGGAGTCGCACCAAATAGGAAATGTGATGACTTCCCTGAAACACGCGTCCAACTCTCAGCTGGATGCCTCATTTCTCCCTAGAAAGGCCGGCCTTGGGTCCTTGACACCTGTCAGTCGACCCAGACTAAGTTTCCCGAAAGCCCGTCTAGGGCATACCAAGACGATATCTTTTCGTCCCAGGTTACGAGAATTCGAAAATGGCAGACACTAGCAGGTTCCACTGTTTCACCAGTCATTCGAACAGTCTTGCGCCGGCAGCGTCAACGGCACTTGAGCCGCTGGCCGGACACAGCACGGGGTAAGTTATGTGGTGCCACACTTGCGAGCAACGGAGTGTTCTTTGGACATTCTGGGCTAACTTTCTATAGCAATTCGAAGTAAGCGTTGCCGACCCTGATGAGATCTTTGCACTGAGTTTCGCTGACAGTCACAGACAGGCTGTCCATCTGGCAGCGCGTCGGGCCCGCCGAGCACGCCAAAGACATCAGATTGGTGGAAATCACGATGTGGCCCATCAACAACACCTAGATCAGGCTACCCAACGACCCGAAAGTCTGCCACCATCGCTTGACTGGGACATTGACGGAACTCTCATTGAGAAATGCATGTTCCATCACGTCCGTCGGGTTACCATTCCTGGATTCCAAAACCTAGCACTCATGACCAAGCTTTGGAACAACTACATCATACCGCTGGGCTACTATTCAGACTCAGTCAAACATGCTTTGATAGGGCTCGGGCTGTCGCACAGAGCCTTCCTTGACGGTTATTCGCATGCGAGCAAAGCTACGGAAGATCAAGACTTTGCAAGCCTGGCCATGTCCTACTATGGCAAAGCTCTAAAGTCAACACTAGTGGACTGGGAGAACCTCTCTACTATGTCCATCAGAATTTCCCTTGTTTCTTGCCTCGTCTTTGTTTGTTTCGAGATAATAGAAGGGCGGTATGACAAAGCGATACAGCATTTACGAGGTGGCTGCAGGATCCTCGGCTCTATTCGAGAGGCAGTGGAGAGTCTTGAGATGAACGGCGCTGAAGCCTTATCCCCTTCACAATTACGTCTGGCCGAGACCGCCAGCAAGTACTTTGATCAACTCTCCAACATCGCCGTCATGTTCTCCGGTGTTGGCATTGACACTGCCTATCTGCTCGAGACGGAAATCATCCCTGATCTAGACTTCTTCTTACGGCCTCCACCTGTACCTGAGGCATCTGAGCATGATCCATTCCAGACCTTGGACGAAGCACGACTCGAAATTCACCGTGTTGAAAAGGCATTAGGCTCTATCATAGGCTTTAACTTTCGCCAGGCTCCTCCACGTTCCTGGGCCTCTGTCCTGGATCTACCCGGCGACATGTTACCCTTCGGAGATGAAATATTCGATGCTTGGATGAGAGCACGGCATCGTCTGGATACATGGAGCTCCAGAGTGAATTTGAGCATCAAGATATGGCAGTCTGATCCGTCGTTTCCTCCAGAGGCTTTGAAAGAGGCGCAAATATTGACATTTATCCAAAATGATTGGAAGATGATCATCAAGCAGTGCGAAACCTCCACCATTGAAACAATAGCTCCAGCTATCTGGAGAAGTATGCTCGACAGGGCTGCGGCCTTTGGTCCGTCCGGGGAAGGAAATCCACAACAGCTGCCGCACTTTGCTGTAGCTGCAGATACGATCCCACCGCTAGTGGTTGTTGCTACCTTTTCGCGAGACCCCGAGGTACAGTCGAGGGCTATCTCGCTGCTCTACTCTATGAAGAGAAGGGAAGGGATGTGGGATAGCCGCGAAATTGCCAGCATTTTGGAGTCGATCAACGCAGTTCGGGAGAGCGATCTTTGGGACAAGGAATATGAGACAGCTTCGCTTCCGACCTTGGCAGAGAAGGTGCTATCTCGGCATCTTTGTTGTAGAGACGAGCAGATGCCGCTGGCTACGTTGATGAACCAAGGATTCGCGTGAGCATGGGCATGTTACTACTAGAAGAGCATTTTCGATGTTTACAATACCATTGCGACATTTTACCCATGTTCGGTGGAACAGGGCTTCTGTCGGAAGGGTGTTCCGGTTCCACGGCCACGGGTTCTGCTCTATGCCCTGGAAGATTGTAGAAGTCTGGATCTCTACGTGTATTCCTTGATTCGCCCACGTAGGTGCAAGACCACGCAATAGATCGCATTCGATATGTTACCATGTCTATGGTTGCAAATAAGAGATGACCGATAGAATATCTGAACGTTGCGAACAGCAAAGCTACTAAAGACTTAGCGCAAAGCATGTTAAAGAGCCCCGAAGATCGGAGTGAGTTGAAGTGACGGACGATCATGATATGAGCTTCTATCACCACCCTTGCTTATCTCTGCATCCCCACAATGACCATGGCCGTCGGAATACCACCTTTACTATCGCCCCTGAGTGACAATCGTTGGAGCCGCTTTCACCGGCATTTCAACAATTCAATTGACTGATCAAAGGCTGATGAAGAGACAGAGGTGCCATGTGGAAGAAAGCAGCCACGAGATTATCACAGTAAGCATACAAAAAGTACCAATCAAAGTCGTTGAGCTGCCTAGCTTTCCCTGCCCACGCGAAATGCCATCTATCTAGTCGACATTGCACGGAAGCCCGACCGATTCGCCGGTGATGCCGTCCCGTTTCTTCCGTCCTTTCGGCACTCTTCATTCCTTAGTGCCGAAGTCTTTCCCCGCCCACGAACCGGCTAAACTTCCAAGGTTGGAGATTTGGAGAGATGTAACGTCGCTATTCATAAACACCAAAGTCGGAGAGCCCCCTCACCCTGCGCGTTCCCCTCATTGCCGTCCATGATAGCTTCCCGATCAGGGGCATGACGACGCTAATCACCCAGCGGCGATGGCACGTCAGGCCATTGATAGCCCATCCGGTGGTGATCCACCTGATTGCATTTCCAAAGCAACAATCCAGTTGCGTATCTGGACTGGGGTCAATAGCTGGCTTCCCCGCTCATATAAGTCCAATGGCATCTAATCGTGAGCCAGACCGGCATGATGCTATTCGCAACACCTGTGTGAGAACGTCCACGACAGGATGATGTTCGGCAAGCTCATTCCGGCCCTTGCGGCCTTGATCGCGGCGCTTCCGCCGGTCAATGGTCAGGCCGTCCGCTTTAATAACCCGGAAGGAGTTGACATTTGGTGCGGAAAGGCGTATCGCGCAACGTTAGTCCCCTCCACCCAATCGCATCAACTTCAGCCGGTCAAGTGCTTACAGGTTTCAATCGCAGAAACTCGTCTTTTGACCCAGGTGGATGGTTCTCCGAGCCAGCCATCTCCAGCGTGCCCCTTCTGCGACTCAAAGTGCGACCGCGACTGAGTATCTACCTTGAGACCGACGCGACAGCAAACCTGCTCATCGATGCCGCCGTCTCGAACCAGGTCGGCTCTCCGCTGCCGGTCGGTTATGGATCGAACTACACCAATTCGACATCCAAGCCGCTGACGGTTGAGATCCTGTTTGGTGAAGATGTCCTCGCGACCGAAGAAGTTGCTTTGGGATCTCGCGATAACGAGGTTGCTCTCCCGCTAGACTCGCTCACCCCGCGCATGGAGGCATACAACATCACCATACGCACAAAGTTGGACTCTTCGCATGTGTACGAAGGCTGGACCGAATTTCCGTATCTTCCGTACCCCGAGGACTACGGCAGCGTGTCGCGTATCGATAACCTGTACGGCGGACTCCTCGCGCAACGAGGCAAGGATGGCGATTGGGACCTCATCTTTGCCTACACCTACTACAGTAAGAGCTTCTCATCACAGTCAAGTCCGTTACTCTTAACTGACTCGAACCAGCGCAATGGACACTATACTGGAACGACAGCGTCGACACCCTCAACGAGTTCGCGGCCATGGGCTACAACGTAATCCACATCGTGCCCACAGGCAGCCTCGGCGAGATCCCCTTCCCCTGGGACGAATTCGAGCCCTACCTTCAGCGCGCCGACGAGCTGGGCCTCTACCTGCGCTACGACGTCCTCTGGACCTGGCCGAACCTCACAAACATGGTCGACCAAGTCACCCGGCTGCGCACCCACCCGTCCATCCTGCTGTGGTACCAGAGCGACGAGGCCGACGGCAAAGCGAACCCGGCCAACTCCACGGGGATGGCGTACGAGCAGATCAAGGCGATTGATCCCTACCACCCGGTCTCCCTCGCCCTCAACTGCTGGGACTTCCATTACGCCGAGTACGGCGCTGGTGCGGATATTATCATGAGCGATGTGTACCCCGTCGCCATCAACGCGACGTTTTCGACGGTGTATGGAACCGAGTGTAATGCCACGTACGGGTGCTGCGGATGCGACGACTGCGCGGGTAACTTTGAGGATATCTCTGTGCGACTGGACGAGTTCTATCGTAGAGATGAGATATTGGGATGGCAGAAGACGCAGTGGTTCGCGCCGCAGGCCTTTGGCAACGAAACCTTTTGGGCGCGGTACCCGACCGCCGAGGAGGAGGTCGTCATGACGGTGTTATCAGTCAACCACGGCGCAAAGGGCATCGTGATGTGGAATTACCCGGCCACCCCGGAGCTGGAAGGTCTAACGAGCAAGTTGGCTGGTGTCTTTACGAATGAGGCTGCAGTCGGGTTCTTGCTTGGCACGGAGAGGACGCAGGATCTTGCTGTTGAGGGCGCGAAGAGGGTTGATGCAGCGGTGTGGGTTGACGAGGCGAAGGAGCAAGTGCTTGTTAGTGTGGTCAGCCTGAGTTATGATGAGATTTCGGGCGAGATCAGAGTTGTGTTGCCGGATGGGGTGGAGGTTGGTGAGGTTGTTGAGGTGCTTTGGGGCGATGTCGCTTGGGCGATGGGTGACGGTGGCTTGGTTGCCACGGAAGGGTTGCTTGGTCTGCAGACTTCGGTGTTTATTGCCGAATTACTCTGAGAGAAGCAATCAATACTTCACGTACATACTTAGATCATAGTGCTAGAGAACAATGTCTCATACATAAGAATGGTCCTGTTTTCTGCTGCATTGTAACGATGTTTGCAACACAATCGGGCTTTTCAGAGCCAGGTTTAGGGATTCGTCAACCAAGAGATAGGACTAATTCGTATCAGTCGAAGTTGTCATGTCAACTGGGTATGAACGACAAGGTGCCCTAAACTTGGTTTACTCATCGCGGCGGTCTTGATTGGTTTCTATAAGCATACTATGCCTTGACGCTACGAGTGTAGCCTTGCGCTGCGGCAATGAGTTATCATGAGGATAGTACTGAACAGTTGCATCGTACTCAGTCACAGTCGCGTCGAAGACTGGAGTATCCCTACGACGTGGTATGCTATTACTCATAAGTTCCCATCATATTGATACAGCCGCCCATCGTCATTATCCATACATATGCGCAGCCAAGGATGCCCACGCGTATAACCCGCCTCCTCCGTCGTATTCGCCGTATTCGAGACTTCTGTTCCGCGTATAGCAGTGACCCGCCCCGGCCCGAATTTTCGGGATACATACGAATATTCAAGCTTTGAGATCAGCGCTTTACACCACGGGAGGCGGCGCAATTTGCCTTGGTCTTACGTCCTCGTCAGGCTTGGACTACCGGTCTTTGTGCATCTGGGGCCTGCTAGGCGAGATCTTCCTGTGGTTCCCGCGGGATAGGTCTTTCGCCGGGACATTGAGGTCATCAGGTTACAGGGTGATCTCTCGGCAAGATTAGAAATCCCAAGGTTCCGTAGATGCTTATAAGAAGCTGCTTTCGTCTTGAATTCATTCTTGGTTTAGTTCAGCTTCTGGTGTCACCTCTCACAGGCGCCGCCGAGAAGTTCCTCAAGATGCGTCTCACTTCTGCCTTGACTGGAATTCTTTGCGCCGCGAGCATAGCGCACGCCGCGCCAATAGATGACCGCGATGACCAGGCCCGTTTCGGCGGACATACCGGAAGCAATGGCTTCGGCACCCAAAACACCAAGATCGCGGACAGACAAGCTGATGTCCCGCCTCCTCCCGCGCCGGAGCCAATCACCATCACAGAGCTCCCGCTTCCCCCTGTCACCGATGACGAGGGTGTCGGGGGATGTACTCTGGAGATCAACCCCCGCGGCACCGGGTGTATCGGGAAATCTCCCGCTCTTCAGAATGGAGATTTCCTGCCGGACGATCTCCACGTTGTCGCGACGGTCAACTTCACCGGCGCCCCTGCCTCGCCCGACCCGGCAAGCATATACAGCGGGCCACAGCTAATTATTGTCAAAATCGACAACAGCACGTTTCCGAACGGTGATGCGTGGAAGTGTATTACTTGCGGCGTATCTGCGGAGGATCATGCTGTACTTGTTGCGCCGCTCGACTATCCCCAAATCTTCAAGGATGGCAAACGCCTGCTTGCTGGACCGCAAATCATCGAATGTTCGGCTGAGCTTGTCAGCGAAGCTTGCACCCCAGACCAAGTCCACGTCTACCCAATCCGATGGAACACGGCTGCGAATGGGTCAGGAATCGGCGGAGCCATTCGCGAATTGCGCATCCATCCTGATAACGAGCACCTTGGCTTCAGCTCTTTCACCGTTACGTCCGGTAAGGCTGGCCAGTTCGCTTACATCGGAAGACTGGCCTTGAACAAAGCACCAACGGCTGGCGAGCCACTTGTCCCCCGTTATGACTTGGCCAACGTCAATCTATTGTTCAGCTTGAACGATAAACAGCCGGTCGAAATTGACCCGGAAGACAGCTCTATGCTCCGGATCAACTATGATGCCATCACTGTTGGGGAGCTTCGCGGGTTCAGCGGTACCGGAAAAGAAGTCACCTACATTGGGTACCCTGCCGAGTCGTCCAACATTGATGTCTTTGCAGCAGACCTTGTCACTGGAAAGGTCCGGCGCTTGACTGCCCACCCGGAGTATACGGATCCTGTCGACGTGTCTCCAGATGATGAATGGACCGTTGCCATGGACACCCGTGGCAGCGGACGCCAGATGTTCATGGCGGGTCTACGCGGCATTCCTCCATTGACAGACTTGGTTTCCGCGAGCGCGGCCTCATCGACGAGAAATAACCAGGGGCGCCGATTCTTCCAGCCATGGCTCATCGATGGTCATGGTGACCGGGGTTCGTACTTTGGGCAACAACTCAATGCTGAGGGCAGTGGAATCCCCGGAAGTGGCGCCATCAACGATCCCGAATGGAACGGCCGCGCCGACCCGAAATGGTCCAATGATGGCACCCATATCGTTTACTATCAGGCCCTGACCGTGTTTCCAGAGTGTGGAGGGGAGAATCCTCTGCCCTGCTATCCTTCCACGGCACCCGGAGGTCGTACCGAGCGCATGATGCTAGCTCATCTGACAAGCCGGCAGCCTCTCACACCGCCCTCTATCGAGCCTCTGGGTGACGCCATTCCCTGGGCAACTCCATACGTGCCTGGAACCCACGCGCCGGAGAGGCCATTCCCGACAAACGGAAACTTCACCCTCAAGGGCAGGGTCAGCGGATGGGCAAACGTAACCATCACCCCGAACAGTGGAGGTGGTCTGCCGGGAACAGTAGGCGTCGAGTATCACAACTACTCTGATGACGGCGCAAACGTGTTAGTAGGATTCGAGAAGGTCACTTCAGTGAATCCGAGTCCGACGCTGGAGGAGATTGACTGGTACTCGGACCTTGCTCAGACGGGGCCGAATAACGGAACCAAGAAGACTAGTCCTGACGGCTTCCGGTTGACCATTGATATCCTGACGAACATCTTCCAAGCCAACGGTACGCTGACGACCACGATCGACGGCAAGGAGTGGCTCCAGCCTGCAAACAGAACTTGAAACCAGCAGCTGGGTCCATGAATCCAAGAATCTTGGGAGGGGGCTTGGCGCAGCAAACGAGAACAAAAGTTCCTACTTAGTTTCAAAGTTCAATAAGAAATCACTTACCTCATCTGCAAGTGTGACAGTGGCAGCAAGATCCTCCAAACTTTGGCGGTGCAGCTGCGAGGCGTATACATGGTGAGCCCGGTCCTCCAAGCCAAGCACGGCCGACAGATTCGGTCTCCTGCGTCGAGCGCACAGTAATTGCAGTAGATTATCATTAAAAGATTCCATCGGAGTTCAGTAGGGCTTTGAGTCCGAACACCAAAGCTTTGCCCCTAGTGAGCTTCGACAGCTGCCATGCCAGAATCCCACGTTGAGATGAAACATCTTCAGACCGCAGATGCCGTAAGCTGGACGGGTGCATGCTACGGGTAGCGTTTGGAGATGAGTAGCCAGCCATCCGGTAGCAGCAGCGATTCGATTTTGCTAGCCAATGTATCGATCTGATTCTCTGACGAATGCTGCTGATTAATTCAAGATATCGTACCTAGTTTCGGATCGGAGTTTTGGTGTAAGTTGGGCGCAGGAAAGTTTGCATCAAGGTGAGCACGGTGAGGTAAGGTAAGGTAAGGTACCTATACCTCAGACAGGTACAATCCTTATCGATATGACAAATATCTTATCTTATCCATCACGTTACCGGACGGCCGATCACGTGAGTTGAGCTTTCCAGGTGCCCCTCGATGTGTCGAGGGAAGGAAAGATCGAACTTGTTCAGGGACAAATAATGGAAGGAAAGCGGCGGCCAAGCAGTCGCGCCCCTCGCGCAGGAACGGTAGCATTTCAGACTTTGTCGACGACAACCACACACGAGACACACGAGATTACTTGCATCGGAATAAACAAATTTGCTATCATGAGCTCAATATCAATTGGACGATAATTCCCCACCTTCATCATCGCTCGAGTCCAGTCTACCTTATAATTCAAGGGAAACTGGTCGACCATCCTTTGTGCTTTCCGACTTGACAGCGCCGCCATCATTTCTTTTCCCAGCACAACCGTCTTGTTTTGCGCGGGAGACAATGGCAAAGAAGAAGGGCAAGCAGACCACGGTTGAAGATGTTGGCGACGGCGTGTCTAGTGAGAGCGCATCGCAATCCTCTTCCAATGGCTCATCCAAGAACTCAGTCTCCAGGCGATCGGCCAACGGAGCGCCTGATACTGCTCCTGCGCTCATAATATGTCGCAACAAGTCTGTTCCCCCTATTGCCATCTTCCTTGGTCTCGCACATGCCACAGAGAACATGCGCGACCAGCGCAGTGTGCGCTGTGCTAGCATGAATGACGATACTCTGCCCTGGATCACGGCTCGCTGACACATTGCGCGACAGGCATTGGCGCTTCATCTCCTCCTTCCATGGCCCATGGCTCCAAATGCCCATTGAGATCCTCGAAACCATTGCGAACATCAACTACAATACCCCGGTACCCCGTCCGATCGACCCCGCCGTCTTCTTCGACCTTCTCAAGATTCGCCGATTAGTCGATGAAGCAACTAACTTGGCCGTCCGCGCTGCTAGCGACCTCGCAACACCAACCTTGACGAACGTACATGGCGGGCTCAATGGACACATGTCGTCGTTAGGCTTTGGCGTGGGGAATGGTCACGGTACAAAACTGAGCAAAGAGCGGAAATTCCGCATGAGAGAGCAGGCGAGCCAGAAGCTCGCCCGCGCATATCGTCTGGATGAGATCGCTTGCAGCGTCGCTACCATGCAAGGTGCTTCGACTCTCGAGGAAATTGGATCCCTCGTGTTGCAACGCAGCAGAGACGATCCCGATGCGAAATACGTTCACTTCTTCCACGAGAAGATACCCTCGCGACAGCTAGCCGAGTGTACTAGTCTGGCGCCCTTGGACAACATCATATCAGCGCATCCGACCGAAGCCGAGGCTCTGCGAACCAGAGCGACTGTGCGGATCTTCAAAGATGACTACTTAGGGGCGACTTCGGACTTGAGTCTGGCGCTGCAAGTGCACCGCTATCATCAGCCACCGCATGGAGCACCACTTTCCCGGGAAGTCGAGTTGACATCAGGATCCAGAAGAAATCCCGACGTCGTCCTCACCGAGGACCAACAACCTAGTAGCTTGGAAACACAGCTGCTATTTCAAAGAGCCGGAGCATACTTGACTATTGCTTGCCAACATGTAGCCGCTGGTCTGCCTGATACTCCTGCGAACGGAGAGACTGGTCGGGCAAGTGGAGCGGACAGGACTACCAACTCAAACACAGTTGACGGACAGAGCCCGGGAACCACGGCGGCGGACAAGGAGGCAGCGCACATACGGCTGGAGAAGCGGAAAGTCGTGAAGACGTACGCCAAAAAGGCACTCCGGGATTACATGGCTTATCTGTCAAACTTCCACTACACGCCGGATCAACCGCTGAAGGTCGCCCGGGATTTTACTGAGAAAGTAAATCTCGCGGCGCAAGGCTACCGCCATCCTCGTGTTCCAGATTCGGGCAGCATTCTCCCATACAAAGCGTTCGCCTTGTCTGAGCTATTTGCTGCTGTTCCACCTGCAGACATTCCGCCGTACCCTTCCCAGGACTTGGTCCGCTCATCAGGGCCTGTACAGCCGAACAACTATGAGGCTATTACCTACCACCCCCTACTGACCGAGGCCCTCCATTCTCTACTGCTCTGCCATTGCTTGGTGCAGACTTCGACCAAGGAGCTCCTACGCCACGCACACATGGTCGCCCGCCTCGCTCGACTTGCCGACGGCTACCCACTATTCCAAGCTAGTAGGTCACCGGCCAGAGCAGACTGGATTGAGGTGTTGCGCCGGGCAGAGAATTGGATCCAGATGAGTGCTTCCTGGGAACTTTTGTGTGCTCCGGCGCCGCTCCCGGTTCTTGATGGACCACTTGGCGCGCAGCAGGACAATTTACATTCGTCTCATAAAGCCGCTGCCCTCGCAGCCGCTGCCATAACGAGGGACGCCAGCACGTTGCCAGACATTGGCGAGACTGAGGAGCAGCGGAAGGAGAGAGTTCGACAGCAAGCCATCTTGGACGCGCTTGATGACGATAGAGTTGTCGACGAAGTTACACTTCGTGCGGCCATCACTGCTCGTCAGAAGCGCTCAGAGGAGGACCACGAGTACCTTATGAGCTTGAAGAATAGCTCGACTGGGAGGTCCGAGACTACTGAACCCCCTCCTGCGCTACGTCGTTGGAGTGTTGACGATGGAAGGGAATATCCTATACTCACTGAGCGCGCAGCCGCCATTGCGAAATGGGTCATTGAGGCGCCGCCGGTCAGCCTCGGAACTGCGAAACGCAAGAAAAAGACCGCCTCGAAGAAGGGCAAGGAGGCTATTAATGAAGAGGCCGGTCTCAATAGCTTGGCCAACCTAGCGATCAATGAGACGAGTCGGACGATTGATACTGCCGCTTAGGATCATGGTTTCTTGCATGATGGCCGATTTGGATGGCATTGGCTGAAGCGAATCAGTATAAATTCACTGTATCACATACATACAGTAAGGTGTCCGCAGAGACATTCAGCATCACAGTGCGATCAGCTGTCATGGTTTACCCTAATGTGTCAAATGGTCCAGCGTGCTCGTGTATGGCTCTTAGCATGTATTCGCTTTCTCCTCACATATTCCCTCTCGTGACTAGATCTCGGCGATGAAAGTTAATATGACGTCAAGTTCTCGGTATGGCACGGCGACACGGTGACTCCAACTGCAGGCGTTCATGCAAAAGTCAACTTGTTGATACGTTGACAAGGCTGAGGCATATCTGGAGACCATTCCTCGGTGGATGCAAAGGATACGGAGCTTCAAGCGTGACTTTCAAGACGGCAGTTCGCTATGCCATAGGCTTGTTCAGCTTACGTGCTTCAACTAGACGCTCCTCGATCACGAACTATGACTCGCCGAAACACATCAGAGTGTGATGGATCTCAGCGCGTCGTCGAGTCCAGGTGTCTCGAAAGGGGTATCAAAAGTATCCCGTATCCTTCGCTAAGGGTCTATGTATGGGCAGGCTTTAGGGTCAACTGAGGTATTTACATCGTCTCGAAAGTTCGTGAGTCCATCGTGAGTCGTACATTGCTTTCGAAGGAATAAACTCCTCGTCGTTTGCATTTTCGTATAAGGATTCGGAATAAGGGGGCACTAATAGAGAACAGGCCGGCCTCGAGGGGGCTTTCGTGGAAGTGCCTAGTAACGCTGAGCTGCTCAAGTTGAGTAGGACCATTCGGAAGATTAAAGGGAGACTGTTCCAAGCAGAAAGGAAGCAAGTACCAGCTGCGCCGAGGAGAGACGCAAGTTCTGAGAACGAGAGCGGCGCGGGTCCAGCTCTACCAAACTGGTCATGCGAACAATCTCAAAGCCATAGCAGCTCAACTTCTTCCCAAATGACTACATGAAGAAGAGACGAAGCCCTGGTCGAGCCAACCACACCCTCCCTTCCGTCATGCGACCAAAGTTGGTGTGCAACCGGTGCCGAAGTCCGAGAACGACGTTGGGGTCTGGCGTACGAGGTAGGTTTCCGGGAGGCACGTAGGGTAAGGTAGCCTTGGGATTTCAGACCGCCGTCCCGTCCTCTCGGTAAGCTAATGGAATTTCATAACACGGCGATCGAGAGTCATTCTCAGCTACTCCTGGACAAATACTTCACGCTCTCGGCATCCTATCAAACTCCTCATTTCCGCATCCGTCTGGCACGAACGGCAACCATGCCACAGACACGCAGCATGCGTCAGCTTCACTAGTCTCTTTTGTGAGAAATGTGTAGGAATATAGGACAAGACTCGGACTCGTCTACGAAAAGAGGCTTCACTGACACATCCCTCTTGTCAAGTTGTCACCTCCTTCTCAACTAACTACCTATTCGTACATATCCTAGTACAGCCTAGACTACTCCGTAGACAACCCACCAGCAGTCCTCTCAGGTGGTACCCGCAGAACCCTGGCGAGAACGGCCGCCCGCG